CGGTCAAAATTTTGCACAGCTCTAATGGCTAGCCATATTAGTCTGAAGGCAGGCAGAATGCAGGGCAGGGTAATGCATTAGAGTCCAACTGTTTCAGAGGTTCATGAGCTTCCATAGGCAACAGCCTATGCTGTCATATTCTATATATGGGTCCATTTATAATATCAGATGAACTAGGTTGTTCATGACTCTCTGAAACAATTAGTTGCTAGATGCCACTCTGCCTTACCCTCTGCCTAACATTTATCAGTTTTCTTGTATTTTTCTAAATGGAAACTCTAAAAATGGTGAAGAGAAATAAGATTCCTAAAATATTAGTTTTACTATTCCAAAGTATAACCAGTAATCCAGGTAAAACTTTTATTAAAATATCTCAGAATGAGGCACTTGCCACTGCACCCACATGAAGGAATATTTCTAAATTAGATATACGAATGTCTAAGTAACATGTAAATATTATGCTCACAGCACCCATTCAGCATGTTCACTGCCAAGATACACACACAGATGTGCATGTTCAGAACAGAATCTTGCATTTAAAAACCTGATCCAGAATTTTAAGCCTGAAAGTATCCCTTAAAGAAATGATTAGCTCCTAGGCTACAAAAGAACACCCTTCAGTATATATTTAATTTTATTATTAAAACAAAAATCTTTAAAACCATTCAACAAAATATCATAAAAATTGCCATTGGATAATAGCATTGTAACAGTGAAACTATGCATTGCTGCTCTAGTAAAATGGCTTTACTTATCATGATTTATATTTTTTGCCCATATTACCTTAAGATCCTTCCATGATGAAGAAATATTGTCATACTGCTTCCCCCAGGTCATAAGTATCATTATTCTGTTTCTGTTATGATACCAAGGGGATCTCATCTGGCATTTTTCATGATTACTCACAATACTGTAGTGCTTTCAAAGTAACAAGAAAACTAACATCAACATGGACAGACACATTACATTTTTTTTGCATCCTCATTAATAGCAATCCTATTTTTAACAGATCTTTGCCAAAAATGCATGTTATAAATGTTTTGAAGAATTGCTGGCGTGATTATGTGGTTTAACACTTACAACTAAACAAACAAGTCAGACAAATTGATAAGACATTTACACCTTTGAGAAAATCTGTACAGCTGATAGCATTGATGGATATTCTAATAGTGACTTAGAAGTCAGCATGGTAACCACTTTCCACATTCTGGCAGTATGATTTATGATGGGATGAGATCAGACTGGCACAGTATGTTTTATTTAATAAGCTGTAGTAGTATTTGCCATAAATATTGCAAGCCTCATTTATGAACCATGGGAGGGTTTGCAAGTTTACAAACTAACATTCACTGAGAACATAAAGAACAAACCCAAAAGACATTTCCATGCAGAATACAATTCTCTTACAGTTACTGGATAACTTTCATCCATTAGTCAGAGTATACATGCTGTATACACAGCTCACAAAGTGGCCTACTGTGCATCAGTGCATACCAGCTTATGGATAGGTCTTTGCTAAATAAAGCATGGGATCACATACAAACACTAAAGCGTGGTTTCCTAGAGAAGGCTATTCTGTCACAGTTTGAATTTACAACTAGAGTGATTTAATAAAGGGGCAATGGCATGAATTACCCTGTAAAGCATACATGAAAATATAGCTGTCAGTTATGTCACTCTGCAAATTGTCCTATCCCAACCATCAATAATATTAATTAGAACTGAGAGGTAGTAACCCAAGGTAAAACATCATCATACTCTCATGGGCCCCATTCCTGCATGACTGAAATAAAAAGGAAATATCAGAGGCGTAATAAGCAATTTTTGCTCTTTGAGCAGCAGTTGTTGTGGCAACTGCCAGTCTTGAGCCCTCTCTAAGTCAGTGTTTAGGGCTGGTGCCTTGCTCACCCACATCCACTTGTGCTACTGAGAATTATACAATTTGACTTCCATGGGAGCAGGATCAGGTCTTTGTATTTTATAGTTACCCCACATATGCAGAAACCATGGACATTGGTAAGAGTTACAGAACAGGAAGCTTTTGGGTCCCCCAAATGGAAGGAAAAGCAGCAGTGCCACTAACTGGCTCAAATTGACCAAAGCTCTTAGTCCACAAGTGAACCCAATGGAGTTAAGGGGACTAGCTGACTGCTTACACATCTTGCTGAATAGGGGCCATACTCAGCAGACAGCACGTACAAAGACCAGGACAGGAATAACATATTCCACCTAGTACAGCACAGTGATACTGGAAACGCATCAAAACAAAGAAATACATTACAGTTCTTTCCTCAGCTGACATGAAGGTGAAGCACTTCTGATAGTTTAATATCCAAAAGTGGCAACAGGCCAAATTCATTATTGATGTAACTCTATAGAAGTCAGTGGAGTTACCCCAGAAATTAATTTCGCTGCAGTCACTGTGATGTATGCAAAAGACAACTTTCATGAATCATCTTTGTGTACTGCACCTTTAAATTGCAAGAAGTCAGCAGGCTGCACCTACCATTTCATGAGGCACAGCTGATACAACACATTACAGAAGAGGCATGCTGGGTTGTCACAAAACCCATTTTTCCTATTTCATTTGGCTTTTTTTCCCTTTAGCTGAAATTAGTCAATCAGATTGACAATGCATGGCTGATTGGTGTGTACGAAAAACAAACAAGCTAAGGCTTCTGTAATTTTAGGTGGAATTGCAAGAAAATTAAGAGGCAATAAGATAAATTTCCTGATTGATTCTGCTTTGGATTTACAGCATACTTTCATCAAGAGCCTCTTAGAACCTGACTAGCACAACTGGATGACTATACTATACTTGCAACATCTCACCACCCTGAAAGTCACAGCACATGATTGGGACTTGCTATATTCTATATCAAGTATAAGAATAAATTCATTGGTGGTGTTCAGTGTAAGGTAGTGGAAAAACAAAAAAAGAGAGAGAGAGACTAAAGCCTCCATCTTGCAGGCATATAACTTTTCTCACTTGAACAGCAAGGCAACTGCTCAGGTGAGTCAAGTTAAACAGACATGTAAGCGTATGCAGGAGGGGAAAGTTCTTGGTTGAGATGCAAGCAGAGGATCACTCTTATATCAACTAGATCTATTTCTTTATCTGTAGGCTGATATATTTTATAAAATATAGGGCTATAGAAATGAGTCATTCCATATATTTAGTCTATTATAAAAAGCTTCCACTTATAATATTTAAAATATAGTTTCAGTGCTGTCAATATCATTGTTATATAATATCTGATATAATAAAAATATACACGTTTTCTGTAGGGGAGCAATCATGGACTGTGTTGGGTGACCCTCCTTTGTGTGTGGCTCAAGCAGCTGAAGAGGTTGGTTGTTCTTGCTTTCTCCTATTGGTTCCTCTACCTTTAGATGGCTGCTTGCCAGCGGCAATGCGTAGGGGGTGCAAAGGGGTGCACGTGCACCCCCTGAGAGCACTGGCGCACCCCCTCACAGTAGCATTCCCCACTTAAGCAGCAGGCAGGGGGGCAGGCGGGAGCAGGGGCACTAGGAGAAGTACTGCTGGCACTTCCCTGGCCCTTCCAGGCATGCCGCTGGCACTTCTGGGCAGCGTTCCCTCTTAGAACCAGTTTCGAGGGAGTGCTGCTTCCAGGTCGGCACAATCAGCTGCAGGGGGGACCCCTCCCCGTGGTTGCTGGAGGGTCAGGAGGCACCAGTTGCCCATGCTGCCTGCCACAACTGCTCTGTGCAGTATCAGCCCATGTAATGCTCTCTGCAACCCAGGCTGTACAACACTCCTAGGCTCTCAAATCATATTGTTTTGGCCTGCTCATCTATTGGTCAAAATCCATTCTTGGCTGACGATAAAACCAATGATGTCTTTTGGCACTGCCAGTGTATACGGGGGCGGGGGGGGCAAGCCTTACAAAACAAATCTGTCACTGTCCCAGCCCTTGTCCCAGGGAACTTACAGTGTAGAAGTGGAAGTTACACAAGGGATGTAGTTAGCTTATCCTACCTGGGGCTTACCCCCAGCTCAGACCCTTTTTCAACAGCTTAGAAAAGACTGTTGCCTGTGTAAATCAGCAGGACACAGTGTGGTTGCTGGGGTCTGTTTGTGGAAACAGTTATATGATCTGGATTTTATTTTGCGCTGCTGAATAAAAATCAAAGAGGCCAAATAAATCCATACAGAGGAAAATACTTTGCTTTTAAATCCAATCTAAAAGTGCAAATGTTTAAATGATGTACTAATGAAGCATATTCCAAACAGTATATAAAGAACTAAGGCTTATGGCAGTGGTCCCAATGGGAAATACATACTCCATACTGGAAACCTACTTCATTGGTGGCAATACTGTAGCAGATAATTGGTAAAAGTTGTTCAGTTCCAGCTATTCAAAATTTATCTTATGCTATAGGAATGTAATACTACTCAGTGAGATTCAATCTGCAGAAGAGACTGTATATGGAAAAGTGCATTCTCCTATCTGAAATCTATTGGCTTGACTATCTTCTGGTTGGTCCACATTAGGAATGACTCCACCAAGTTCAGTGGAGTAGTGGTGCTTGTGAATGAGAGGGGAAGATCAGGAACATTAGAGTAAACTGATTGTATGAACTGGACCCTCCATTTAACAAAGGGCATTTGGTGTTAGTTTTCACAGCCTCACAAATGTGTTATGGTAGATTAGTTTTCTGTTAAAACAAATAAGGGAGTTATTTGTACAACATTTCGGCCTATAACAGTATGGAGTGAGCTTCCACTTGCAATAGGTGGTGGAGCAAGTTATTGACATTGTATTATCATATGCAATCAAGCTTGCTCTATTTAAAGCAGCAGAATTTGTGACTAGCAAACAGAATGTTGTATATTATTCATTAAAGTTCAAGCAGGAGGTCTCTCTCAACTTTTATTAAAATATTAGCATGCTTCCAAGATGAAAGAAGTTCCACTCCAATGTCTCTTGGGAAGGAGAGATGGAGTTGGTTGCATTCTGAGATACAGTTCAGTCGGGGATGTCTTACAAAACCATTGCGCGTTCAACATGGTCGAGTTGTAAAAAGCTTTTGCCCAGAAAGGAGGTTTTCATTACGTACAAAGTCTCTGATTCTTGCACCATTCTCCAGATGCTGTTACATGACGTTCTCAAAGAGCTGTAAGGACCGCATGATATTGTCATCCTGGAAGCAACAAGAAAACAATAAAACAACCAAATTCTTTAGACCGTCTATGGCAGACAAAGCACTTTGCAGCACAATTGATCTTTGGCACCTGTTTCTACAGTATGTATCAGCTCCTTTTTTATAGCACCTTTCTTCATGGATGAGTCCACTCTATTTCAGAAGCTCTCGTCCTGTTTCAGAAAGCATTTCTAATTTAACAAAGCATTTGGGTGTGTTAGCTTGAACCACATGTTTGAAATTAAGTAGGTGTTTAAATGCTTTGCTTTAGATCATGAATAATTCCAGCACTTGCATTTGCACACAGGAGCAGTCTTGATGTCAGAAGCCTTAAACTGCCAGGTCCAGAGCTCCCTTAACTTACCTCTAAAATGAAGTTGCTTCTGGGCTCAAAAATGTTAATCTTTTACCCTTGGATTCCTACTCCCTGGGTGCGTCTACACATGATGCTTTAATGTGCATTAGCCTAAGCTAATGTGCATTAAGGGTACATGTCTACTTGTGCATACCCTTAATGCACATTAAAAATGGTGAATTTAAGTTATCAATTTAAACTTGATATCTACAAATGCAGGTATCAAATTTAGGCGTGGATAATTAAAGCACATTAACGAACATGTAGATGTGTTAAATCGCATTAACGCTTTAGTCCCAAGTCTTCATACACAGTCTTAATGCACTTTAATGTCTGTACTTGTAGCCACCTGCCTAAGCCTGCTTAATGCGCATTAAATGTAGGCATGCTTAAATACACGTGTAGATATGACCCCTGAATCCAAATAAGAAAGCTGAGACTTACATATTGAGAGAACCTTATTAGCAAAGTTTGTTATGAGGCTAGTTGCATCTGCAGTTTTACTTTGTAGCAACATCCAAGGTGATCTGATAGGCTGTTACATTATTACAGTGCCAATTTAGCACTTTTTTCTTTGTGCGCTTGATGTACGCAAAGCTGGATAAAGTGACAGAACTCTGGATTTCTGCCCATCTCTTTCTTTATGCCTATGTCTCTGCCCTGATTTGTAAAACACTTGGAACTAATTAGGGGGAAGGTGTGGGGTGAAGAAGGGTCGGGGTATTATGGGGTCTATGGGGCAAAATGGAGTATAGGGGAGTGGGAGCAAGAAGGGTGGTTGAGGCGGTCCCATGGGGTGTGAGATGCTGCAGTGAGAAAGGAATTCTCAGAGAGGCAGGGGAAGGTTTTGATTATAAATTGAAAAATATAGCTGGAGGCCACTAGCATATTTGTAAGGCGTCTAGTTTCTTTTTCAATTGGAGGAAAATTTGTTGTTGTAAGGGATGATGTAGCACACTACCCACCCTTTTCAAAATCCTAGGTTTGCCCATGCCATCTTCACATTGCATGACTTTTTCTTTTTTTTGTTAAAAAAAAGACACTTTTTTTTCCAATTAAAACAAAAAACAACACCCCCCCACAAGAAAAAACATGTTCTGAATACTTATAAGGCACCTACTGCAAATGATGCTAAGTTTAATTAAATAATATGGCGCATTGCATGAAGAAAAGAATAGTAAAGAACCTTGAATTTTCAGATTAGTTAGCAAACACATCAAGCATGAGGACATATGTAAATACCTCAGGCAAGCCAGCACCATCAATGAGTTATCCTTAAAAGTACCCAAAAATAAATAAATCACCCAGCAACCAGCAACAGATATAATACATGTGCACACACCTGCAGGCAAACCAATTAAGAAACATGCACACGCGAAGCAAAGAAACAGAAGAGGTTAAGAATAAAACATCTGCAAGAAAGAACTTCACATTAGGCATCTAATAATGGAGGATGAAGTTTCACATCCCTGAAGACCTCACCAAAGAAAGTTCTCCATATAACAAGGTCCTGACTGAACTAAGAATAAAGAAAAAGGCCCACCCCACTCCTTAAAATTGTTTGCAGGATTCATAGCAATCATTCAGATACTGAAAGCTACACTCATTACAGCATGGGAATTACTTTCTTGGGAAAGCTTGAAACTAAGAGCTGAGGATGCCCAATGAGTGATAATTACCACTATCTTAAACTGTCTGAAATGAGCAGGCTGTTATTGCATTGATTAACCACTGGAAACATCCCTGACCAAATAGTCACACAGTTAATTGGAAGCCAGAAAAACAGATGTCAGGCTGATTGTTCATGCAGATGCTTAGTTTTGTGTAGGTGCTAAAAATAACAATAAACAATTATTGCAGCCAATTTAATTTATGGAATTTCCAAAAGGCATTCATTTTGGAAAAATCATTACTTTGATTGCAGTGCTTGTTTTTAATGTTTGACCTCACGCATCAAGAGTTTTATATGTCGGTGTCGTAATTACAGGGTACCTAGACAGATTTTATGCTTCTGGACAGCTCAGTCACTGTGAGTAACTATTAATGATATATGGAGAAAAGCAATTAGAGAGACATTGTCAACCTCTTAAAAACAGAAAAACACTGAGGTAGGTGAAAGGCTTTGTGAGCTTCCTTTATAGTTATGTACCATGTCAAAGAATTGTCCATTATATTTCACTTGGGAAAATAATAGCACAGGCCATCAGCACTGAAAATGAACAGACTGTATCCAGTGATCGGTGCAAACCCAAATTCATGTTCTAAGCATTCTCTGGTGTTTAGGGGAATTCACAAGTCAAAACCCATATGTATCAGGACCGGTGCTTCGGGGGTGGCTGTCATACCCCCTGATGGTGACTCAGCTCATGCTCTACTGCAAGGTACCCTTCTTTTGTTCTCACCTGCAACACCTTGGTCTTGTTAACAAGTTTAGAAAGGGAGGCTGCCCATGGTTCTTAGTGAAAGCCTTTAGCCTGTCCTCATACCCACAGATCCCTCTTGGACCCCACTGCTCCTAATAAATCCTTCCTCCAGGTGGGCTCTCTTTCTCCACACATGCCCCCCAAGGGCACTCACTACCTTTGGTCTAATCATGGCCCCAACCTCCCCTGTAGCTGTGGCTGTGCCTCTGAGGTGTGACAATCAAACAATTTGGTGGGCCCTTGGCCTCAGTCTTGCATACAGACTTCTCTGACTTTTCAGTCTTTTGTCAATCTCTGCCCCTCCTGGGCTGGACTTTCTTTAGCTTTGTCTCTGCCCCTTTTGGGCCAGTGGGCTCTCACTAGCCCTATCTCTACCCCTCAAAGGTGGTGGGCCCTGGACCTTGTCTCTGCCCCTCCTAAACTGCTGTACTACCACCTGCCTTGTCCCCCAAGTAGACTCAAGCCTTAAGTACCTTGCTGGCATTACTGGCACCTCCTGACCTTCCCTGCAGTCCCAAACCCAGTCAAACAGTTAAAACTCAGACCAAAACATCAGCACACTGGCTATAACTTAATTCTCTAAGCACACTGACTCTCTTCTGGAATCCCCCTTCATACTGAGTTGAATCCCCTGCCAGCCGCAGCTCCTTACTGCTGTCTCTCATCAGCAGGCATCTTACAGCAGAACCCCTTTCCCTGCAGAGCCAGACTGACTGCTCAGGCTCTGGTCTTGCTTTATAAGCCTCCAGAGCCCCGCCGTCTTCCAGCCCTGCCTGCTTCCAGCGATTCCCTGGGCTGTCTGCAGATATTCTCTAACAAGCTTTGCTTACTGGCCTTCAGAGTAGCCTAGCAGCAGACCTAGCAGCAGTCTTGCCCTGTCTCCCACACAAGACTCAGTTTTATACCACTGCCAGGAATCTGCTAGCACTGCAGTATATTTCTTACTGTTTCCTCAGGTTAATCTACTATTGTACTATTGCTGTGCCTCTGTAACAGGAGCCATAGCAGTCTCTGTTACACCAGGACTGAATTTTGCAGCTGGTTTTTAAATGCAATAGAATGAAAGTTGGAATCCTGAGCCCCCTAAAACTTAGAAAGGACTGCCATCTAAAGTGAATATGACCATTGTGGCACAAGCTCATCTTCTCTGCTTTCAAGGCAATGAGACGGTTACTCTTACCTCCTGACATGATTCAATGAACTCATCTAAAGTTACAACGCCGTCTTTGTTTTTATCCATTTTCTGCAAAATAAAAGACACAAGGCTATATTTATTTTTTCTAAAACTGATGTCTCTTTCAAAAAGTATCTCAATACTGTTCAGTGCTGCTTGCGTAAAACTACAGTATCTTGCAAACAGGCAGAGCTTGTACTCCAGCTAGAGTTTGCAATGAGTTCCATTGTTCAGGCTTTGCCAGTAGCTAAGCATCAAAAGGAATGCATTAGAAATCAGCTAAGTACCTGGAAGAAAACTTCTACATGCTGTCTTGGAGCATCTTCCTTGAGCACTGGATATGTGTACTTCCCCATCATATCATAAATTGCCTTTACTATATCCATCATTTCCTGGAGTAGTAACATGCAAAAATAAAACAGAAACTAATAAATACAAGTACAACATTTTCTTTTACTGAATTAGGCCCAGTTCTGCATTCTTTTCCTAATGTAAAGGAAAGCCATATTGCTGAGTGTCACTTGGCATTTTTAGTACCACTTCCAGATACCATATATTGCAGTTTTTTTACACTCAAATGTCATTGTATATACAGTATGCTGCAAAATCTAGTGAATCTTACTCTGTCATCTTTTGTCAATCATCTACAAAAGCTCCTGTGCAGTCCTTGCTATTACTTCATTTCCTTGCCTTTAGTTATTGCTGTGCAAGATTGTAGCAGATCCACCATTGGTACCCACAGCCAGCTGACCCAGTCAGTGGAATTGTTGGAGCTAAAATGAATGTGTTCTTAGTTCTCAGTACTTTTACAATGATAAAGGATGATTTCCCACAATTTCCATACTTGATTCTCTTCCCCAAGGGAAGCAGATCTTTTTCCAGTCACTAGGAAGGATTACCTAGTCAAGCAGACTGATAAGAGTCAGCCTTAGGATAAACTTACCCTGTCTTTCACAAAGGTGTCTCTATTATTAGTATTGATACCACTTCTTAGTAATAAGCATATTGTAGCACTCCAACCACACACAGTCTTACATTCTTTATAGATTTGTATAGTATCAAAAAGATCTTACAGTTGATCACAGCCAAAACAGAGCAAGGTGCACTGAGTTCTTTGCTCAGCATATAACCGAAAGTAAGAGTTAGACACTGGGTGCGTCGACATGTGACACTACATTGCTGTAGCAACGCACTATATCGATGTAGCATCTGCGGGCAAAAACCGTGATGTCACAGCTACATTGCTATAGCAACACACTCCCTCAGTATAGCATGTCACGATGGTGACACAGAGGCTAAAAATAACCGTGCACAGTGTGCACGGCGCAGTACGAAAGGAAAGTACTAAATGACGGTGTAGTAACAACGGTGCTGTAGGGGCCTGTGGAGATACGCAGACATGTGAGGCTTAAGTGTGAAATATGCATTTCACAGTCCAGTGTATTTATACTTGGATGTAAGGAGAGGACAAGTAACTAGAGACACAAATGGAAGTGCAGAGTTAAACTAGGGCAGTCTATAAACTGCATCTTGTAGTCAGAAATGGGAAAACCTTGAGGGAAGCAACTGTCTGCTCCAGGGAGCTGAAGAAATGACTAGTCATGAAGCCCAAAATCAGTGCTTGGTTTTGCTTTTTTCTCATACGGCTCTTACATTTTTTCTTTATATTACAACCCATGTGTGCAAAGTCTGACAATGTATGCAGAGGAAGTTCTTTTGGTTTGAGGAAGGTTACTTGGGGTTTATTTTGTTGTCTATGAAGTACAAACCTTCTGTAGGAATGGTATGATTGCAGGGAAAGTTCTAGCTGCTTAAAAGAAATAATCAGGATTAAACACAGCGTAGTCTTGCTGAACTAGAAAGCTGGGGTGTGCAGTGGGGAAAGTAACTGAAAAGGGGGAAGGGCCGGTCAGTAAGTAAACTAAAAACGATCCTAAATCACCTAAACGCTCAGAAAGAAGCAAAATGGACAGTTGGAAGGATTCCTGTTTCTAACCCTTGTCAATCATTTTAACTCATGTTTGGAGCCCCTGTCACAGGAGCATTCATGCTAGCAGTGACCATGTTGGAAAACTATTAAAACATCCTATCCTCAATTTTGCACATATATGGCTGTCACCATAAACTGCATGCATGAGCTGGAGGGAAGAATACAGTGTGGCTATTAAAGTCACATTTCTAAGAAAATATTTTACTGCATAGCTAATCAATCACCAAATAAGTCAAGGCTGTCAGAAGAGGAAGCACTGTCATTTAATAAAAAGGACAGTGGGCAAACACAGACTCATTCAAAACATAAAAGGCTTCTGAAAATATCTTGGTCATTCTAGGCATGCTTAGATACTCAACACATGCATTAGTATAATCATTCCCATATTAATTATCCTGCCCCTACAATTATCTTCATGTATCCATAGTTTCTTTTATAGAGGTAGGATTTGTTTTTAGTAAAACGGTTTCTTCAAGGGCACCATACCTCAGGAAAAAATACAAGCTCTAAAATTATGCAATACAAAACCATTGTGCACTTTGCCTTACATACCAATAAACATTCAAGCCCAGTGCTGATTTGCATTTAATTAACTGCATGAAAAATGAATTACGCTTTGTAATATCAGCCACTCAGTTCTTTCAGAAAAGAAACAGATGTTCCTTCCATAAAGAGCCTTACCTCCTTGTTTATATATCCATCTTTATTTATGTCATACAGGTTAAATGTCCACCTTAGCTTTTCGTGAACTGTTCCTCGCAACAAAATTGATAGTGCCGTCACAAAATCCTGGTTCATGGCAAAAGAAATTAGCAAATTTTAATAAAGAATCTTTTCCAAACCTTTTTCTTAATAATGCTATTCTTTTTGTTTCCGCATGAAGGATATTGTTAATTAGAACAGCAATATTTAGACCCCTTTTCTTCCAAATGTACAACTTTCATGAATGTCAACTCTGGGTGAACTTAGCAGATACAACCTAGTCGTGCGCAGCACCTAAATGATATGCTACAATAGCTGTAATGTAGGAATTCTGAATACCAGAGAAATCCTCATTTATTTAAACCAAGGTCCACAGTTCACCCATGTTGGTGATTTAGATTGTATGCAAGCACAGGGCTGCAAGGGAAACCAGGACTAAGCAGGTGCTGCATATCTCTTTCTCCAACTAGAGGACAGGGCATTTGTGAAGCCTCTGCATTGGATTTTGCTATTGACTGATGATTATTCTTCAGTCAGACCAAATGTCCTGGTATAGGGCTCAGGTCAGGAAGAAGAAAGGGGCTGCCTATAATTAATCTTCAAACAGGTTTAACGTTGGCAATTAATCCAGCACAGATTACACAGAACCTTTACCCTTTAACCTTTACTCTATATGAGCAGTTACTGTCTCCATGCATTCATTACCCATACAACAGGTTCACTAGTCAACAAAATGTATTTGTTTACTTGTTTTTTAAATTTTGACCATTTTACACACTCATGGCATAAACCTGAGATAGTTGTGGGAACCTGGGAATTAGCCAAGAAACCTGACCAGGTCAGGGAGATGAACATGTTTGTTGGTATCATAATTTAAATGGAAGAGTAGGGGGGATATCATCTGACTTTTGACTTGACTTTTGACAAGTCTTGCAAGGCTTGGTCTGTATCCTACTATACAGAACCGAGGCCCATTGGGTAGTGTTAGGTAACAAAACATAGTTAGCAACAATTCAAATTTGTCATGTTCCAACCTCTGTAATCCAAAGGTGTGTGTTATCTCAGCTGGGACAAGCAGTGTCATAATACAAACACAGTCCTTCATAATAGATCAGGATGGTGCTCTGCTGTCCACCAATATTGGCTGGGCCACCAACCAGTTGATGAGCCTGCTATAGCCTGGGCTGAACAGAGCTTGGTTTTTTTGTTTTGTTTTGTTTTTTAGCTCAGGCAATAGAGCTGATGCTTAAAGATCTAGAGGACTCCAAGTAGATCATCATTAGTGGGATCAAATCTGGATCCTCCAGAACTAAGTGCTCATGCTTCAACTACTGATCTAAAAAGGCAACTCTATTCAGGTAGGATTTAAATGCAACTCTGTTGGCAAAATGAACCCAATAATCTTTTATTAAAAATGAATAAGATTAAATATTTGATTGGTTTTCATTTTTAGATGAAGATTTAGCCCAGCAAGTACCAAGAGACTAGACTCTAGAATGAAGGTAGATTAAGAGAGAGATGAACAAAAGATGATGCAAGTTAATTACCTCAAACTTCACTGATCCATTCTGTGCAGTATCAAATGCATTAAAGAGATAATGGGCATACATACTAGCATCTGAAAAATGCAAAGAAGGTACAGATTATCTTCATGCTCATTATTACCACACACATTTTCTAATGCTTAAAATAAATTTTCATAGTTTAATTTTGCTTTGAGGGGAAAAAAGGCTCTGCAACTTCAGAAATTCTTTCCATAGCCTGGTATAAATGAATGAAGAAGACTAAATAAATACTGAGAAAGACCTTGAAATAAAAAAAAAACAACAGTAGAAAGACAGCAGTGATCTAGAGCAGTGGATTGAGCTGTAGGTTTAGAAAATAAGTAAAGAAGAATCAATGGCTTTGGAGCAAATTGAACATAAAGTCCACAAAGAAATTAGGACATGAAAGCAACAGAAAAATGATGTCTTCCCATATGTTTCCTTTATCCATCTTTTGCTATGTTTCCAATTCAGTAGAGGATTTTAGGATTGCAAAACTTTAGAAGGCTGGCTGTTTGGTGGCAGTATCTTAGCTTTGGAATTTGGTTTGAGGGGACTTATGAAAACATGAATATCCTTGGGCTGATATCCTGAGCTCAGAAACTGCATATATTCAGCCTACCCCTAGGTCCTTTGTAAGGGCTTTGTTTGGCTGTTTGCCAAACCAGTCAACCCAAACTATTAATGGAGCGCACTGAAAAAACAGTACAGTCAAGTGTAAGAACATCCAGACTTCAACCTTGTCCTATTTACCGAGTCCTTCAACACCAGGCACTTGGGGTTTTTTTTTTTTAAAGTAATTAAGGCTAAAAAACTGAGCAGATTTTACTAAGAAGTCCTGAAGGACTGCAGTAGAACCAGAGCTCCAGGTAGAAGGAATAGTGAGGTGGATATGATCTAATTTTCTTCTATACCAATATGAGAGTATTACAGAAACACCAAATGTATTTGTATCACAGACTCATCTGGTAGAGGTGAAATATTTTTAAATCCTCTTTAAATTTTAAACTACTAAAGGCAGTTTTAGACATCTTTATGAAAGTAAGAATGGATTCTGGGGCCAGGGAAAGGGCAATTTACAATCCAGAAAAAATGTGACAATATGTGAAAAAAATCAAAGAAATGTATCACATTAAGACCTTCATTTGCATGCATTCTGCTTTGGAGGGGATTCATTCATTCATTCAGTAGGTACCCTCAAGGGTACCTACAGTTTGCTTCTGCAAATGTGGAATTTATTGGGATTAACATAACCTAATCATTTCACTGCTTTCGTAGAGGACTTGTGCACAGGTATCATCCTGGTCTCTTTTGATCCCTGCCTACAACCCAGTATAGCACCCTGAGGACTGAAACACTTTAAGCTAACTGTAGTAGGTTCAGGGTTATTTCTGGGGGTCTAATGAACTCAAGGAGGTGCCCAGCCAATTTTGGGCAGATCCCAGGGCCAGCTGCCATTTTTGTGGGCTGGGTGTGGTGGCTCCCCACAATTCCTCTGACTGGCCAAGGGGCCCCAGCAGTCCTGCCCCTCCCTACAGATTGCCATATGGTCTGAAACTGTGGCTTAATTACCCTGGTTAAACCCAGAGAAGCCATTAATCCATGCATTATTAACCATGGATTAATGGCTTCATGGGCTTAACAGGGTAATTAAGATGCGGTTTCAGGCCATCCCTGAAGGCATGTAATAAAATGCAGCTGCATCAGGGTCTGCGGAGTCCCAGCATGGCTTGTTGCTGGCAACAGGTGCACGTGAGGAATGAGCCATGCTGGCCCAGGATCACAGTACAGCTGCTTGTGTAGCCTCCTTGCCCCTGCCTCACACGCATCTCTTGGAGGGCCTTGAGCTGTTATTCTTTCAAGGTGGACAGCTGTCTCTTTAGGTTCTTTAGGTTGGGCTTCTCTGCCCCTCAGAGGCAAATCATGGTCACTTCCTCCTAGAGTGTCACAGCCTTTTTTCCTGCTCATGCCTCTTTTCCAACTCTGCTACAATTATCTGTTCCATCTCCATCTTTTTCTCTGCATCTACGGCCAACAGGTATCTTAACTCCTTGTTCTTACTTTCTTTGCTTTCTACCATCAACTGGCACCTCAGGGCAACTACTTTGGTTTCAGATTGCTCATATTCTTGACGTTCAACTTTCAACTCCCACTGCAGATATTTTGCCTCCTTGGCCTTCTTGCCAGAGACTAGCTGTGCCTTAAGCAGGTTGTCTTGTACTGCTCCTAGGGCTTTGGGGTCAGCATAATAGGTCTGTGCAAAGCAGAAAGTATTCGCTTTGGATTCGGCTATTCAGAGTGACAGTGATTCGATACAGTCCCCATTTGAATCTGAAGATATTTGGCACTGAATCTTATTCAGCCATAGACTATATGGGCAGGCAGTGCTGGCGGGAGCAGCTGGGGGAGCAGCCGGAGAAGCCCTGGCTTGAGCTAGTAGCCCCAGAAGCCGCAGCTCATCCAGCTGCTCCTCCTGCTGCCCCCCACTGGGACGAGGCAGGCAGTGCTGGCAGCCCTGGGAGAAGCTGCAGGGGCTGGGGGGAATGACTGGGGAGCTGGGGGATTGAACTGGGAACTGAACCAGGAACTGGGGAATCGAACTGGGAGCTGGGGGGGAAGACCCTGTTTGTTCCCCAAGCCCCTGGTCATTCTCCCCAGCTCCCCAATCATTCCCCCCCACCCCGAGGCATCTCCTGGGGCTGCGAGCTCAAGGTGAGACTTGTCCGGCTGCTCCCCCGGCTGCCCTCCCCCCCCCACTGGGGCAAGGCAGGCAGTGTTGGCAGCCCCGGGAGAAGCTGTGTGGACTGGGGGGAATGATTAGGGAGCTGGGGATTGAACTGGGAGCTGGGGGGAAGCCCCTGTTCATTTCTCCAGCCCCCAATCATTCCCCCCAGCTCCTGGTTCAATTCCCAAGTTGTATCCCTTAGCTCCCCAATCATTCCTCCCAGCCCCATGGCTTGTCCCAGGGCTGCCAGCACTGCCTGCCTCACCCCAGCCGGCCCCGGGAGCAGCCAGACAAGCCACGGCTTCAGCTGGCAGCCCTGGGAGAAGCCATGGGGGCTGGGGGGAACGATTGGGAGCTGGGGAATCAAACTGGTAACTGGGGAATCAAACTGGGAGCTGGGGGGAAGCCCCTGTTCATTTCTCCAGCCCCCAATCATTCCCCCCAGCTTCTGGTTCAATTCCCCAGATCCCAGTTTGATCCTCCAACTCCCAATTGTTCTCCCAGCTCCCTGATCATTCCCCACAGCTCCCAGATCATTCCCGCAGCCCCTGTGGCTTTTCCTGGGGCTGCCAGCACTGCCTGCCTTGCCCAGGCAGGGAGGCAGCTAGAGGAGTAGTTAAACAAGCCATGGCTTCTTCTGGGGCTGCTGGCTCAAGCCGGTCCGGCTGCTCCCCCAGATGCTCTTGCCTCCACTGCCTAATGCCTGCCTGTACAATCTAGGGCTGAATCTCTTTTGAATTGATTCAGAGGCTTCTGATTTGATTCAGAGAAATTAATGGGTCTCCTGATTTGACTTGGATTTGGAGATTTGGCCACTGATTCGGGCCAAATCTCCTCCGAATTGGATCAGCTACCAAAGCTTTGTATAGACCTACATACAGCGTAACTCTATGCTCTTCCCTTCATGCACCTTAGCTCCCAACATAGGACAGAGCACAATCTTGGTCTGCTAAGAGGTCTCAGGCCTCCATGCTGGCACTCACTTTAACTGCTGGCAGTTCATCTTCATTGCTGCACTATACTTTACATGCTCCTGTATGCTTTCAAGTGCTAAAATCTGTTTAAGTGCTGCTTCTGGCCCCTTTAAACTGTTTGTATTCCCCACCCACCCTGAGCAGCAACCCTGAGACCAGGAGAGGGAACTTACATGAGAGAGAAGGAAGACTGCACTGTGGCGCTGAGGAAGCAGCACGAAGCCTCAAGCACTTTCTCAGGTTCTGGGAGGAGACTCCGGGACTGTGCGTTGCCCTTTGTGTACTGTGTTTATGGACTATTTGTATGAAGTGAGAACACTGAAACCGCTACACTAAGATCTTTGCCTTAATATATGAGCATTTAGGCAAAACTTAATTCCTTGTGATATACAGGAAGTCAGATTACATGATACCATGATTCCTTCTTGGCTTGAACATTATTAAACTATGAAAAATATGTTTCACTGCTAAAGGGGCCCTCCATATTACTTGCATGGGTAAAACAGTCTGGAGTCCAAAAAATAATTTGACTACTGCATCTTCAAATTAAGACTGCAGAAATAAGCCACTGTTATACAAAGAAAATATAAGTAATGCACCCTTGGAAAAAGGCCTTGTTATACCATCTGAAGCAAAAAGGTTTTGTTTCTGTGTCATATAAAATATATCAAGAAATACTAAACCTCCAGTAAGGCTTGATAGATGGTAGAACAGCAGAGCTGATGACTTGTAAAGGATAAAAGCTTTTAGTAATATGCATTGAATGGCCTGGGATAATAAAATTGCACAAATGAAAAATTGTAATTCATGGACATTTTATTACATCCAGTATGTATAACTTCATGTGTAAAGAGAGTCATAAATTGAGAGAAATATGACAAATCTAAAATAGCATGCTTTATGGGATTGTGGGATTTTACAAACATTTTGGAAAGCAAGTGAGGAAAAAAAATAGGTACAATATCAAAACACAAGTTTAATCACACTGCTAAATCATGGTTTATTACAAAGATATCATTGCTAGCCCAGGTATCTCCGACAGGGAACCACTGTCAAGGGAATGGATCACTGAACAGGACAGAAGGCCTTCAACATGTTTCAAAGAGCCATCTACAAGACATCATTATGATAAACTTGTAATGTAACTGAATACGTGGATGAGCTCTTCAGTGACTATCATGCACCTACCATGTAACTATGCAATGATATATCACTACTAAATTCAAGTATTTTGTAACTCTGAAAACCTAATGAACGTATAGACATTATACCCATATATCTTAACCTACATAATACATGCATAGACCTCATTTTGTGTCTTCACATTCAAACCTTCTCAAATGCACACACTTATATACACATTCTGTATAAGGTATGGAATTTAAAATTTGACTTTCACACTTGAAAGAATATTTGCATCAAAACATACCAAGCTAGAATGTATGAGTAGAATCCTGAGAAGGCTAAGGAAGCATTACATTACATTTGTTGTTAAAAAGGTAATACATATTCTTGTCATATCTATGATATATAGTGAAGTTGTCTCATATAGTTTTCTGAAAAACAGGGAAATGGTTACTTCATCTAGATTGGTCAAACTTCACTGCACTACAGACTTTGGGAAGGCTGTAACACCAGTCTCTAATATTATTTGTATTACACCACTACCTAGGCCCAAACCTAGGATTGGGACCCAGCAGGCTACACAGTATACAAACAATAGTAAGAGACCAGAGGCGTAACAGGACAGTTTTGCTCCAGTTGCTTCACCATCAGTTACAGTACTGTACGAGACGTCCATGCTCAAAAAGAGTTCACATTTTGCACAGAAAAAAAAAGAAACAAAAGTGGGAGGGGAAGTAGAGGCACAAAGAGTGTGAGAGGTGCTCAAGCCAACCCAGAAGGTCAGTAATATAGCAGGGAGGCCTCTCCTTTCCAGTACAATGCTTTACCCATTCTACTATATTTCATTTAAAGAAAGGGGATTGATCATTGCTGGCGAACTTTAATGCAGATCAATTTATATTCCTATGCAATGACTATTTGGGGAGGAGGGGTATATATATTTTCTCCATTTTAATAGTTTTTTTCCTCAATAATCCTGTAAAACTGAAAAATCAATTTGTGCATATAGCAGGCACTATCTGAAGTAGTTTTGCAAGCAGCTGGCAAGAGTGAATTTTAAGATATGCTTCAATAAGTATGACAGATGCAACATATTCTACTCACCTCCGTGCGGAAAAAACTGTGCATAGATCTGTTTGAATGTCTCTTCGTTAACAACCCCACTAGGACATTCCTGTTGGAAAACCAAAAAACCCTGTTAAGGTTCATTTGTAAAACATTACATGCCCAAAGAGAGCAATTATAGAATTTAATTCCTGTTCCTGCAGCATGCTGTATGTACACGTTTTGCAGCTGAAGAAAATAAAAGATTAAGACTAGAATTCTCTAGTATTTCATAAATCTGGCTCACTACTTTTTCCCAAATGTAACACAGTTTAATCGCTATTTTGCATATGGAAAGATGACATGTCTTTTGTTACTGAAGGCCTTTATTTAATAATTATAAATCATCTTAATATTAAGTAATACTTCACAATACCTCAAAACTTCAATGTTCTACAGATACAGTAATTCATTAGTCACTGATGGAACACTGTGGATTGGAAAGTGATGTCAGCCACTCAACAGATGGACAACAAGTACTATCAAATACTTTTAAATAGCATGCATGTTTGGTCTGAGGAGGTTGAGTAAAAAAAAATGTTAAGACATGAAAAAGTCTCCAGTTTTTGGTGTGATATAATTACAAATTATTTGTTGTGTTTTTGTTTCAGTAGACCAACTGTAACATTGGTTATTCATTTGGTCCTACTGACAATAGCTCAGTGGAAAGACTCCCAATAGGGAGTCTTACCCAATAGGAGTCTTTCCACTGAGCTATTGTCAGTAGGACCAAATGAATAACCAATGTTACAGTTGGTCTACTGAAACAAAAACACAACAAATAATTTTTAATTATATCACACCAAAAACTGGAGACTTTTTCATGTTTTACCATTTTTTACCTAAGCAAATAATGGAAGTGAATGAGGATGCTAGTGAACTTTCTGCCCATGTCTGTTACAGGTTGTCCTGTGACTAGGGCACTCACCCAAGTTCTGGGAGACATGGGTTCAGTTTTCTCTTCTGCCTGAGGGAACTTCAATCCATATCTTTTACTTACAACAAAAGTGCCTCAAACACTAAACCAGAGTACTCTGTGTTGGGCGGTGCTCTCAGGGTCTGTATGAATACAAACATTCTTATCAAATCCTTGTATGAACACTCTCATTCAAAATTAAAATATTCTAACTCATTTTGGCTTGATTTACTTTGGAAGTGAATTAAAATAAACAAATTTAAAGTTACTTTAATTCTGTAGGAGAGTGTCTACATAGGGGTTTAATGCAGTTTAATTAATCCACTTTAAATGTACATTTTAGATAACTGGATTTATTTTTCTGTGCCTCTCCGTAGACAAGTCCATAGCTTCTTCTGTTGACCTCATTCCACTTTGCATAAATATTTAAATATTCATTGAAGCAAGGGCTGGCACTTGGGTATCCTGCCTCCCAGGTGACCTTGATTACCAGGGCAGACTCATTCTTTGTCTCTGGCTCAAAGAGGAGCAACTCTAATTGAAGAGACTAAGGGTGCTTACACAAGTTACATTTTTTGTGCAGTCTGGCTCCTGAAAGTGCTCTACAGGCATGGCATAGCACATGTTCATGGCTCAGAGTGCTTTTATAATGGCCGATCAAGTGAAAAATTTACCCTTAAATCAGCTATTAGCTGAATGTGCTCTAAAGCAGAGCACCTTAGGGAATTTCTGTCCAGGGTCCCTTCAGGGCTTAAGTGGGGGTGATTCTGCTTGTATCCCATGCACTGGGGTGCCCTAGCTTGGCACCACCCAACCCCACCCAACCCCACCCCACCCCACCACCAGGGTTGTCACAGACAAGAGAAAGTCTCCTCCCTGTTCAGCGGCGGAGGCAGGGGGAGGGGGTAGGGATTGGGATAGGGGAAGCTGGCCTGGACCAATGAGGCAAGGGGGCTCTGTTCCCCACCTCCTCTGCCCCCAGCTCTTGCCACAGCAAAGCCCATCTGGCAGCTGCTTGCTGCCACTGTCAAGACGCTCGGGTGCAGGAAAGGAGGTCCTCCCTGCCTCTTAGGGATTGAGGGGAGCTAGGCTCAGCCCATGAGGTGGGGGGCACTTGCTTCCCCCACCTTCTGCCCAAGACTCTTGACAGATGCAGCACACAGCTGCCAGAGGGGCTGGGGAGAGGGTTAATTTGGCAGGCTCCTGGAAGGTTGCTGGAGTACCCCCATCTACTGGCTAGGGCCAGTGCAGGCCGGTTCAAGCCCTCAGGTGAACATCTGTTGGGTTCAGTGGCGCTTTAACTCATGGCAGCACACCCCAACAGGTTGCCTAAATGCCTGTGGGCACTCTACAAGTTACCCACCCCAGAATGCACTTTATAGCATACTGGCTAAGACATTCCCCTAGAAAGGAAGCTGTGTGGTTTCAAGTCCGCTCATACAAAGGAAAGATTTGAACCCAACTCTCATATCCTAGGTCAGTGCCAGAGCTACTAGGCAATGGGATCAGCATCTCTGTTGTGCATCCAGCTATATTTTTAGAAACTTTTCAGCATATTTAGGTGAAACTCATTATTAATTTCAACTTAAATACTAACTATATGCCAGAAAATCCCACAAAACCAAAAACCAAACCAAAAACCCCCAGCCTAACTCTAATTACAAGACCTAGTATTAGGTGGTTTTGATTTCTGATTCTGTATTCAGACTGTGCAGCCTCTGATTTCTGTGACTGCTGCTGGCATTCTTTGGAATGGGTCATTGTGCTCCGAGAATTGAGCTAAATAAACAAATCATGATATTTCTGCAGCAGCTGGATTATAAAAAGTATACTTTCTCACACTTGTGAAACAGACTCCAGTTAGCTCTTGACTGTGCAGTTATTTCTTGACCACAGAGAATTAATTTGTTTGACCAATGTCTAATAAGACATGCTGTTATTTTCCTGGACTGTATCCTTAACTAGGATTTGAGTCATAAAATTATGTTGGAAAATAAATATGCTTTGCCTAGTTAAGACCAAGGGGCATGTGTGCATGACGCTTTAAGGTGGGCTAAATTCTTTTGTACTGCTTTAATGGCATTGGTGTTTGAACTCATTGGCAGTGTATTGCGCATTAATTACAGCCGCTGTAGCAAATTAGGTGGTGTAATGTGCCTTAAATGACTTAGGGTGCAGCAAACTAAAACTCCTCTGAAGAGTTTTAGTTTGCTGCCCTACAGCTGTGGAGCAAAGCACCGGGCTCCATGCAGCTCCATAGCTCTGCAGGGAGCCCTGCAGGCAGCCTAGCAGCAGCCTGAGAAGGCAGGCTCTGCCCAAGAAAAGTGGCAAATCTGATCTTTCTTTTGCTCCCCCTGGAGCCTGCCTGCCTGCCTGATCTGTGTGGGGCCTGGTGCTTCCTTCCATGGCTGTGGTGCCTGCTGGGACTGCCTGAGCCAGGTGCCTGTGGGTGGGAGCCGCCTCGGGGCGGGGGGCTGCTGGGGAGGGAAGCACGAGACCCCGCCACAGCCCGGGGACCGCTCCACCCGCCAGCAGCTTGTCCTCCCCTCCCTGCTGACAGAGAGGCAGGTAAGTTAGCACGGTGTGCGCATGACACGGGGTTTTAAAGGGCCCTAAATTGAAGGTATTTTTAAAAACCCACCGCTTCAGTTTAGGGCCCCCATTTCATCTACACACAACCCTGGTTACTAAAGTTGATCCAAGCTGGACAAAAGCTTTGCAAACCTGGATTGAGTTTTGAGCTCAGGTGATTTATAGGTTGTCAATTTTTAGTTGCCCTGAAAAAGAAAATGCATGTTTAAAAAATGAAAAGTTTCTAGCATTTTAGTTTGTCGAGACAATTTTCACTCTTAACTCATTCTCTCTTTAGTCAGTGCAATGCTCTTCTCCTTCCCCTGCACAAAGACAAAATAAACTCCTTTCATCTTAATGGATCATGAACTTCAAAGCCTGTTTCTGGCCATAATCACTTGGTTTTTTAAAAAAAGTAGTTTATTTAAAAATAAAAGCACAAGCATCCAGCTTGTGACCCATTAAAATGCTCTGGAATTCAACTATAAAGCTCTTTATGTTGCTATCTAACAATACAGTTAACGGTGCTTTGCACTGTGAAGTGAAATGTATTGTATATTTAAGCAGTTTAGTTACCATTTATCTGCTCTAGGAGTCTTTGCTGTTTTGCATCTGTGTGTAAGGATCCCAAATTCCAAACATTTAAACTATTTTCTGTTCCATTTTCCTACCACAGTTTTTCTGGCTAAACCAATTCTGAATTATTCCTTCTGAAAATATGGGATAACAATTCCCTCTGGGGATGACTATATTCTGCAAGGCACAGCACAACATTTTGAGGCAGAAAAACCAAAGCCATGTTTCAGCAACCTAGGACTGGAAGAAGCCTCCTTTCGGCTCATCGAGGTCCAGTCCACTGATATTGCAGCAACTGTGCCATATAGAATCATAGAAAATTAGGGTGGGAAGGGACCTCAGGAGGTCTTCTAGTCCACCCCCTGCTCAAAGCAGAACTATCGCCGACTAGATCATTCCAGCCAGGGCTTTGTTGAACCGGGCCTCGAGGATGGAAATGCCACCACCTCTCTGGGTAAACCATTCCAGTGCTTCACCACCTTCTGTCCATGGGTACTGTTCAGACTGTGATGTCTAAACTCTACTTTCCAAAAAGAAAGCGTGTTAAAGCCCCCCTTCAGTGCTTGAAGGAAAAGGCAATCCTGTGCTTTTATTTAATTTTCTATTACTGAGGAAAGCTAGACTAGCTGTCATATCTGGAAAGGTTACCACTCAAAGGATATATGTATCTGTGCTGCAAATCTGAGGTGTTACTTCATGGATTTTAGTTGAGTCTAGTCACTCAGATGCCTATTCATGGTCCTATGCATGGTTGTAAAGACTGTGCTGAAACCTGTGTTGCCTCTGTTGCACTAGGTTGATGAAAATGTGCTTTAGTATGTCTACCAAAGCTGTAAACACATCTGATTGCAGAATAGAGGCACTCAAGGACAGACAGATTTTTTCCTGGTAGTCTTATGTAAGGTGGAAACAGACACTGTCTGATGTCTCATTTGTGCTTATTTGTACCACATATGGTAGCACAAATACTGAGCAAATAGACATCACATCTGTTGTGCCACGTGAAA